CTAGAAAACAAAATGCAGTTGGCTATGTAACCTTCAGTCTCAGCCTATTCTTGAGGATGGAAATAGGATCCCACTTCCAGTATTTTGCTTCATTTAACTTCAGAGGAAAGCTACTAAAAGCTGAATTGGGAAGGATCAAATCTTACAGCCTAAATAATCAGAAGCAATAGTGATACCCAGGATCTTCTTTCCCACAGTACCCTGCTAAAATCACTTGAAAATGGCCCCTTTTTCCTCCGCACCTCTGAAACTGGTCTTTAAAAGTAAAAACACACACATTCAGCTGGGCTCCTGAAAAAGTGATTTCACACCAAATTCATGAGGTGCTGTAGAAAATTTAGGTTTGCAGCTCTTAGGCACCTAAAGCTTAGTGGTGGCGGCTGTGGGGTGCAAGAAATCAAGATCCAGCTCTTTCTCCCATGCTCTGCACTAAGCAGGACAAATTCAGTTCTTACATAGGCAGATGTGACACCGCTGCAACAACTGGGCTCCCAGCAGGGCTGAACTTGCTCCTCAATCTGCATTTTCTGATTGCTTTAGGCTGTGATCTTGCAAACTGATTGGACCACGGTGCTTGCCTGAAGGCCACAAGTCAGCAGCCCCGCTACGCACAGATTCAGGTGGGAATTAGTTTGCCGTGCTGCTGGGCCACAATTTGAAGCAGAAAAATTTAAAACTATTTCCACTCTGAACCATAACAACGCAGCAAAGTTACAGATAAGAATAGAGCAAATATAGCCAAAGTCAGTTTAGGGACTTTTCAATCAATCTCTCCATGTGCTGAATTCCCTTTTATTTTGATAGGAGCCAGACTGTTTAATTCAATGCAGGAAAAAGCCAAGGCAAGGACAACAGCCATTACCTGACTAGATTTTTTTTACAGGACCAACTCCTTAAATGGAGCATAAACCACATTTTCTATACCTGCATACTTTAGCTAACATTCACTTCTGCCTTAATGAAATATTCTCAGTTTGAATCTAAAGTGAGGAAGCTTGATTGATAATGATGCTGCAAAGAGAGGTACACAATGTAAACACAGATGCACCTTTTCAAAAACTTACAGATGTGTGTCATTCGCTAGCGACTGAAAAATCAGCGTAAAAATGTAGCTAAGAAAAATGTCTCCAGATCACTGCTGTCTTTCACAAGGAAATTCATATAAAGGGAGATTAGGACCCAATCCTGCTCCCAGTGCATCAGTTTGAGAAGGTTTCTTACTGACTTCAAGGAGAGTAGACAAAAGCTCCACACTTTCTTCTTATGAAAAACATCTCAAGCCCTGAAATGAATCCCTGGTCACTTGTAGGAGTTAAGAGTCAGCAAAGAGTGGATTCCAATGGTTAATCCTCTTTATTGTTAACTGTATGTAAACAAAGTGTCTGTGTCAGTCTAGATGCTAGGAAGATCTGACCCAAACAAATTTGATAGCTTTTAAACTGAAATATCACAGACAGATGAAAGAAGGGATAAATCTAATCCATTCCTAGTACGAAGAATACTATTGACCCAGATGCCTCTATCAAATGAAATTGTGAATAATTGATTCCTTGTATGGGGTGAACCTACTCTGCAAAACAGATCCTGACTTTGTAAATGTTGCCAGGGCCAATAATCAGAAATACTTTATTTTGTTTTGTCCACTATCTATGGCAGAAACATAAACTGCCGTTCCAAGGTTGAAACACTTCCTGGACTCAACCTCCATGGGAGTCTGATGAAACGTGTGTGCATATCCCAGACCTGGAATGGTCTCCAGATCTCACCTTGCTGGTGACATCTTGACACATCTCTGTTGTCAGCACAGACAGCAGAACTGATGCACACCCTATTTTTAATCCAGATGATGTAGGAGGCAGAGAGCTGCTAAGCCCATTACCCTGCCAAACAGAGCAGTGACTGGTTTCAGTGCAAAGAAGTGTGTTAAAAAAATAAATATTAAAATAGGCTAACCAGACTTCCCTGACCCTCTTCTTGCGTCTCTTCCGGAGGATCCAGAGATGTCCACTGCAGAGGGTCTTGCTGAGCTTACCACCAATACCTTTTAAGAAGAGGCAGATGTTATCTGGCCAGTTAGCACATCATTAAATATTTCATGATGTGGCTACAGATACTTAACCTGGTGCTTTTAAGCTGCATATAGTAAATTGGTGCCCACAGCCCCCAGAAAATGCCAACCTGAAGGCAGTTCAGCTACTAAGTGTACACAGTGCAGGGCAGCCCAAATCACACTTTCTCTGCGGCTGCACTCTGTGTGCAGGTGAAGACTCATCCAAGTCTCTACCCTTGCTTGGATTTTCTCTTGGAATGAACATATCTTTATAATGAGGTGATTTATGGATTTTCAGTCAGGTTTAATACTGAGATAAGATTCCCTTTATATGACCTGGCATGGGAGAGATTAGAAACCTGCACTGAAGAATTTGAAGGGGAATTGGGCAGGGAACTGCATGGCATAGCCACTGTCAAAGACATTCACAAACAAATTTCTCAGATTGCACTTGGTTTTTGGCTGCCTTGATATTTGATTGCTCAGATCTAGAAAGCATTTTAAGAAGGGCCAAACAAATGAAATCAGTAGGTATGCCAAGCACTTGATATATAAGAAAAGTGAAGCAGGCTTGTATAGCATATACTTACACCAATTTCAGAAGAAGTCTAGCAATGTTAAGATCAGTTTTCATTCTTTTTCATTCATTTGTCATGTAAGGGTTAAATCTTACGAGTTGCCGCAGACATGTATCAGAAAGCCTGAGGCAGGTACAATACAGGTATTTCCAAGAATCACAGATGGCCAAATAATTCTTCTCAATATGCCAAATTATAATGAATTACACTTTTGTCAGCTAGTTTTGTTCTTTTCAAGTTTAGCCATGAAACTGTACCAAATGAAGATTACTTTTCAGGTAATGGCTATTTTGTCAATTAAGTAATTACCAAAATTGTACCTCATGTCATCATAGTTACTGGCCTCAGAACAGTTCCATGGACTCAGCCCAGTCTTCAAAGGCTGTAACTGGTCTGCATTATTTACTCGAGTAAATACAGCAATTTGTTCTCCCTGAAGATCTGTCCCAGATCATGATTTAGCTGAAGAACCAGATGAAGTAAGAGGATCCTAATCTTTTAGATGGCTCTTCAGATAGAGAATAAACAATGAAGATGAAGGCAATGCCTACATCTGGAAGAGAACAGAAGCTCCCTGGATGGAATGACTGTTATGAGATGTCAACAATACTGAGGAATCAAACATGACATTTACTACAGTGGGCAAAATCCAACAAGGTATCTTCCATTGAAGCACACTCTGTCCAGGCCTGTGCTTCCCAGTTACACATGGGAAGCCCAATAAAGTTTATTTCTTTCTTGTGCTCTGATTGGATGTGCCAAAGATGCTGAGTTGTGCAGCTAGAGCATAATACAAACAGTCACTACAGAAAGTTCACTTTCTAACATCTTACATGGGCCAAATCCTTGTGTCTTTGCTGGTCAGTGCTCTAGCCATGGTGGTGAAGTCATTGTGTGGAGTGACAGGGGTCATTCTCAACAGGAGGTGGACATGAGCCATGGTAGAGAGGCTGCTCCTTGGGTCAGTGGGGTAGGGGTGAGAGCCTTCCCATTGACTGTGGGTGTCTCTGATCATCTGACATCTAAGCAAGTCACTCTCTGCTCCCTTTGAAGTCAGTAGAAACTTGGTCATTGTAAATAATTGAGATTAATCTCATCCTAAAGCTGATGTGTGCTTTGGTTCTTGTACCCTGTGCTCACCAACTACACTGATCAGTTTTCCACCAGCTGTAAAGGCTGCATAGCCATCAAACTTGACATCAAATGGATGCTATTTCATGTACACCTGGATTGACATCAGATGAATCCTGCATAGGATATTTGGACAGGCTGGTTTCCCTAGCTGTATAGATACTACATTCTCACTGTAGTGGTGAGATCTTTGATTCATTTCTGCCTTGTTCGCAGTGGGTTGGATTGTTTTCCTGCTCTCCCTCAACATAATTTCCAATTCCCATGAAAAAATATTTGGCTGAGGCCTAGGGAGCATACTTATCCCTCTGTTGCTCAGGGACAGGTGACAAGAATAGTATTTATTTATTTGTATATTCATCTTAAATATGGCACACATTCATGGATTTGGAGCAGTCCATTTCCAAGAGAAACAGTAAACAGAGAAAAACAGATCCTGGCAGCATCCTACATTGTGGAACTCCCAGGGAACAGAATAGCGATACTCTGCACATCTGAGGAGCTCAAAGCGCTTGGCAAAGATTAGTGAATTGAGCCTTACAACCTGTATATTTGTATGGAAGTACAACTCCCAATTAACAGATTGGGAAACTGAGGCACAGTTACATTATGCAGCTTACTTAGCAGCATGTAAGTCAATAAAGGAGTGGAGTGTGTAAACCTGGAGTTCCCTAC